GGGGGGGGGGGGGGGGGGGGGGGGGTAAAGTGAAAGCAGCCTTCGGGACCACACAGGACAGGGTGGCTCTTTGAGTAAAGGACGCCACCTTGTGGTCAGACAGAAAGCGGATGTGGAATTTCAACTTGAGCAAAACAAGACCCCACTTTCCCAGAAAGGGCTGCTTCTTTCCAAGAGAATGCAAACATGTTTCAAATGCGGAGGCCCATCCCACACATCTCCTGGACCTCCGTCCGTGGCCGTCCTTGGCCAGCCCCTGGGGCTCATGGCCAGGCCCCTGACCCCCCACCAGCCAGGCACAGCTGCGGGAACTGCTCCTGCCGGGTGAACCAGGCCTCCACTGGACCAAGAACTGCACGCGGAGTATTTGATAATCGAGTTTTGTATTTTTAAGTGACCAAATCTAGTAAAATGAAAAACAGGTTTACTAAAACAGGTCCGAAAGACGATACAGGAGATTAAGCTATAAAACCAAAGCATGAGGTCCCACCTCAACACCCAAGTTCCATGGTCCCCAACAGACCCCAGGGCGAGGACAGGGAGCGGAGAATCTTGCATCTCCTCTAAATCCAAATTACACGCTTTGGTTTTTGTTTTCCTTTTAAAGGTTTTTAAAAAGCTAACCCCAGGAGTCAGGCAGGTCCACCCTGCGTGCGGTGGCGCGTCCAGCCAGTGCATGGCAAGCTCGGGCGCAGTGCCCTCGGTTCTGACCACCTCCGCTGGCTGCGGCGCAGGGCTCACTCCTGCGCTATGCTTCTCAGCACGTACTTGACCGTGTAGGCAAAGGCTGCAAACCCAACTATAACAAATAAGTTCGCCAGGGCGCCGCCCAGGAGTCCGTGGTGCCGGTTGGCCTGCTGGAGGCCTGCGAGGTGCGGCCCGGCCCCTGGCGCGTGCCCGTTGAGGAGCTGAAGCCCGTTCTGACCGTGGTGTGTTTCCCCGTCTGGAACCACATCCGGTAAGGGGAGAGCCTGGGGTCGGCTACTGAGTTCATCTTGAGCTTTTTGTTTTTGTTTAATTTCCTGAGATAAAAACAGAAAAGAACAAGGGTTGGTCTAAATGAACTGGCTCCTTCAGGACTAGGGAGGGTCCTAAGATCCGCCACCAAGACCCTGCCCAGGAGGCCCGGGGCCACCGGCCTGACACCCACCCTCAGAGACAGGGGCCCCTGCAAACTGTTTTACAGATGAGGGGATCCGGAGACTCATCAAAATCACCAAGCCTGCACCTCTCGGGGCCTAGACTGAGCAGCTCCAAGCGACACAGAATCACCTCAGCCTCAACCTGGGTGCAGCCCACCCTGCCCCAGAGCGAAGATAGGGTACATGCCGGCCCCTCTTGGAAGGGCCTTCCCCACTGCCCAGCAGCCCACCCAAGGAGCCCTGCACCCTGACGTCCAGTCCCCTTTCCCTGGCCTCCCCGCTCCAACCCCACCGCGCGAGCACCCCCCCCAGCCCTGGGCACCCTGAGGAGGGGGCGGGCTGCACCTGCCCGCCAGCACGTACAGGTGCATGTGAGAACGGGCGCCCTGTGTGCTGTGCGCACAGCGTCGGGGCACAGAGCACACAGTTCTCTCTTTGGAAGAACCGAATGTGGAAGTGCTCCTGACGCGGGCACCACAAAACGGACCGCCTGCTTCCACTCCTTACCTCCACGACTTCGGGGAATAATTCACAGAAGACCTTGTCTTTTAAATTAAACACTAAACTTTGTGCAGCCAGCTGTCTTTTCTAGGAAAAAAAACAGAAGGGAAATACCAGCCTGATGATTAATTTCAACTCTTTCTAATTCTACAGACCATTTTATCCTCAAAAGCTACTGTCTTCGTGTTGTTGAAAGCACTCAAAAAACTTGCTCTTCACAACAAACTGATTTAATTTTGCCTCATCAAGTCTTATTTATCTTTCACTATCATCAACTGATAACATGAAACTTGGTTCCCACTTAAGACGATTAAAAAAACAAAGACCAGCCAACAAGGAGCAGACACCATGCTGCCCGCCCCGCCCAGGCCCTTCCCACTGCCAAGGGGAACGAGGGCTCAAGCGGGAGCCCCCAACCCACAAACCATGCTGTCCACCCCTCACCGTGAAATCCGACGTCTCTATACTGCCCAGGGTGGGGCCCTTCTCCACCATGAAGCTAAGGAGCCCGGTCAGGATGGTGGAGACGGACCAGGCTGGGTTCCACGTGTCTGGGTGGAAATCCGTGATGGAAAGACACAGCCTGCAAAACAGGGACCCACTCAACAGAGCACACACACGCATCATGACCACGTTCACGCTTGAGAAGCGTTGCAGAAACGCCTTACCTTGTGTTGCACTTAAATCTTCCATTGGGTGTTATCATATAAATACTAGGAGGTTTAAAAGGAAATTCTCTGGGGAAAACTAGTTTCCCGTGGTAATAGCCACCTGTATCAGAACAGAAAGAGCCTGGTCACGGTCTACAGTGCAGCCGTGGGGGCAGCCCCCAGCCCCGCTCCAGCCCTCAGGCTGGTGCCACGACCCTCAGTCTCCCACTCCCCCTACCTCGCCAGCGCCCCTCCACCCCCCCGCCCCTGCCCCAGGCCCAGCAGCTGACTACCCCTGCAACACAAGCGTCTTGCTGGTGGTCTCAGGGGCCTCAGGACCACAAATCACCAGCGGCCCTTGGCCCACATGACAGCACAGCCCTGCTCACCCTGCCCGGGCCCCCTCTCACTGAGAGCGGAGCCGCAGAGCAAAAGTGGCACCCAGCTCCTCCCTGGGCTCTCTCGCCCACCCCTGAGCAGGTCGGCGGAGGTCACCCTATATCCAGACCCCCTTCACTACTCGCCTCTCCTCCTCCACCAAGTGATACCCAGCAGCAACCAAAACTGCCACCATATGATTCTTGCACCTTAAAAAAACAAAAACCAGGGGCGCCTGGGTGGCTCAGTTGGTTAAGCGTCTGACTCTGGCTTAGATCACGATCTCACAGTTCGTGGGTCTGAGCACAGCGTCGGCTCTGTGCTGACAGTGTAGAGCCTACTCAGGGTTCTCTCTCTCCCTCTCTGTCTCTGCCCCTCCTCCACTCGTGCTCTCTCTCTCTGGGTCTCTCAAAAATGAATGTTAAAAAAAAACCTGACCCCCACCTCACTCCAGCTCCTGCCAGCTGCTCACTGTCCTTGTGTGAAATCCCTGGAGAGCAACATCCAGGTCACCCTTACAAGGCTCTCGCCCCCGCCGCAGCCCCCCCAAACCTGACACGGAGACCAGACCCTCGAGGCTGCTGCGGCATCTGACCACGCCCCACACCCCACGACCCTCCCCATCTCCAGCCTGGCTCCCCGTCCCACTGCCCTGAGCACTGCCCACTGGCTCCTCAGAGGTCTCTCTGACCACTCCCCCTCCCTTCAGGGTTCTCAGTCTCATAAACCTGGGGGCATCATAATTACTCACCAACTAGCACCCACAAGCGGACCTCTGGGGCCCTCCCCTCACTGCTGGCCCACGGACTGACCATCCGGGTGACGCTGCCCAGACACGTCTAAAACAGAACTTCCATTTCCCTCCAACAGCAACTCCACCCTCTTAGCTGTTCACACGAAAACATGGGGGGCGCTGCTGCCCCGCCCCCCACCCACCGCCAGCACATCACACCTACTCCACCAGCAAATCCTGATGGTCACACCTTCAAACTGACCCAAACTGTTCACTGTGGATGACCTGGCTGGCCCCACAGTCCCACTGGCCCACCCCCACCTCACACCCTTCTCTCCGGCGAGGCTTCAGGAGTGGTGCCCTGTCCCCAGCACCTGGGTGGGGTCCCATCTCAAGGACTGGGACACACCAATGCCAAAGCACCGCACACACGTGCTCCAAAGCCACCTTGGGTTGGGCCTCCCCACCACCTCAGGTGGGCTGTAGCGCCCCAGCCACCTCACCCAGGTGTGGCCGACTCCAAGCTCTGCCAGGACTGAAGGGATGATGTGAGACCGACTCAACAGCCAGACAGGCCCACTAGCGAGAAACTAGCACGATAAGCGACACTCGAGCACAGTCACTCAAAATCACTAAGAAAAGCCAAACCGGAAAATAAGCAAGAGAGACAAACAGGTGCTTTTCCCAAGAGGAAACAGGAACAGCCGGTGTGCGCCTGGAGCTGTCCGCTCAGGAAACGGCTCCGTCTGTGGCTGAGGGGAGGGCGGGGGGCAGGCAGGTGCGGCCGGCATCCGCTTGCTGCATCTACCTGAGAAAGGCCAGGTGAAAACGGGCCATCGCCTGCTTGCCCACCGAGGGAAGGGCTTGCAGGCGCCGGGCGGCGAGGCACCTGCACAGCGGGCGGATGGCTGCCGCGCAAACCTGGGAAGCAAACAGCAAGGCGGGCGGCGCACGTTGAACCAGAAGCATGCGTTTCCCCCACAGCCAGAGGTGCAGGGTCAGGTGTACGAGATGAACTCCGAGAGGGTCTGAGCCGGACCAGGACCCCGGGAAGGCTCATCCTGAGAGGTGAGGAGGCAAAGCAGAGAACGGGACGGTGGAGCCTCAGCCAGACGTCAAGCCCTTCGGGAGTGCAGAGCAGCAGTGCGGGGACCCCCTGCCAGCAGCTCCCACACCCTTCATTCCAAGTGTCCACAGGCAACTGAGCCACGAGCACAGCCCTGACCAAGCCCTGGGGGCGAGAACCACAGACGGCACGGTGGCCCTGGAGGCGGGCCAGGGAAGACAGTGGCCGGGAGGGTACGACGCTGCCCGACGGACTTCCTCCACTGACCTGCGTCTGCTCACTGGAGCCGCAGGAATCCCAGTCAGGCAGACGGACTCCTCCCACCTCGTTCCTGTTTCAACCGCTCTGGGACCTCTGCCTTTCCGTGTATGTTTTACAAGAAAAATCTCAGAATTTGGGTACGTCCACAAAAAACTTTGCCAGGACTTTGACAGGATTGGATAAAATCTACTGACTGATTTAGGAAGAATCTTTAGCAACGCTTGTATTAGCGGGAAGCCACTTCCGGAGCATCAGGATCTGTGTGCCTGGAGTCGGCCAGGAGCAGCGTGGGTGCAGAGCCCGGCGGGCACGGAGCCCGGAGGGCACGGAGCCCGGAGCAAGGACAGGGTCGGTGGCCAACCAATGCTGAGCCGGACGGACATGGACAGGGTGATAAGCCATGAGAGACTGAGAAGGAGGAGACAGAACACCCAGAAGTCAGAGAAGGAGCAAGTGAGGAGGAAAAAAGAGTCAGTACCACAAAGTCCACAGAACCCCAGACACTGAGGACGGAGATCCGTCCCTTGGACTGACAACTCAGGGGTCCCTCATCAACCCCGATGAGAACGGCCAGCAGAAGGCAGGGCTGTCAAGTGCTGAGTGTGGCACTGAGGGCAAGAGAGGAGAGGAGCAGGGGAAAGGCCAGGAGCAGGTGCCGAGGGGCAAGCGGGGAGCAGGCAGGGGAGAGGGTTGAAGGGAAAGAAGGGGGAGGAGGAGCCTGGTCTCTCTGGCGGCAGCCTGAAGGCCCCGACCAGCAGGGAGACGGAGACGCAGGGAGGAGGCACACAGAAGCCCTAGTGCCGGGGCTGGGGCTGGGGCTGGGAGGAGGGGTCGCCTGCAGCCCGGCCCGCCTCCACTCAGGGCCTGCCCCCTCCTCCCCTGCCACCCCGCCCCTGTCCAGGTCCACTTCTAGCAGCAATAAGACTCGTTACAAAATTAATAAATGTCACAGTTTATTGGGAAAATACTGAAACTACAAAAAAAAAAGCTTAAAATCCCACTTGTGAGAAAGAAAACATGCTTGTTCCTAGTTAGAAACACGTATGTATTTATTTACCAAGCATTTTTTTTTAACGTCTATTTATTTTTGAGAGAGGGAGAGACAGAGACGGAGTGTGAGCGAGGGAGGAGCAGACAGGGAGACACAGAATCCCAAGCAGGCTCCAGGTTCCCAGGCCAGCTGTCAGCCTAGAGCCCGACGCGGGCTCCAACTGAAGGACCAGGAGATCGTGACGTGAGCCAAAGTCAGACGCTTCACCAACTGAGCCGCCCGGGCACCTCCTCAACATGCATTCTAACATGACCTGCACAGGCCCTTTCCAGGAGCCCCACACAAGCCCACCAAGCCCACACCCTGCGGCTAGGCACTCAAGCAGTCCCCCGCATACCCCATGAACACCCCCCACACACGCACACAGAAAGGCGTCATTCCAGAACAGGGCCTCCTGCATCAAGGAGGCTGGTGACAAACATGCCAAACCGCCTTTACGAGCCAGGCCAGTTCCACTCTCCGCCACCTGTCACAGCTTTCCCCTCATGGTCCGGAGCAGGGGGTCTCGAATGTTCTACTCCAGCAGCTGCACTCTTTTCTGGTGAAATCTTATGCAAAACCCCCCATGTGGAGGTGATGGCACCCAAAGTGAGGACGCAGGGGCTGGAGAGCTGGAGGTACACCAGGCCATGGCTCTGCCCTGGGCTTGCCCCACCACGGCTCATCTCTCAACCTGGCCTAAACCCTGTAGGCCCCCAACCTGCCGACTGGAAAATCCCAGGTCTACCTTGTAAATGTCACCAGGGGACCGTGGGTAGCAGCGCCAGGTCAGCCCCGGCAGCAACAAAGACAGCAGAGATGCCAGACCAGACCCTGCACCCTCCCTGTAAGCCTCGGGGCTCCGTCCACATGAAGGGGCCACCACGTGGCTCAGCAGGCTCAGCAGAGCGAGTGCTCGGTAACACACCTCTCTCTGCCCTGACAACACGTGTGTTGGTCTGAACACACAGCAGGAGAACCCAGGTGCACCGCACGGTACCAGGTGGGTCTGTCTTCCAGCTCCGACCCCACTCGTGGCAGAGGCTACATAACCTGAGACTCACAGAAAGCCCCGAAGACTAAACACCATGCCAAGGCTAAACAGCCTTAGGATCTGAAGTAACTAGGATGGATCCAAAAGTCCAATGTCACTAACAGACATCGAGCCTAGAGCATGATTCACAGACTCAAGGTGCTTGACGCGAGAGGTCTGTTCAGAAGATAAAAAGGTCCCTTGTTCCACTCACTCAGATCAGAGACTTACCTTCATAAGGAGTCATCTCTGGGCCTCGGACCACATAGTGCCTGAAGGAGAGAAGAAAATGAGCTGCCTTTAGGGATGGCAAATGCTCCGAGTTCTGAGTCACTCCCAGGCCGGGGTGTGGGGTCCAGCAGAAACCGGCCATGCACGAGCATTCAGTAGGTGAACTCGAACTGTGGTCGACTCACCCGTACCAGGATCTTAGAAACTACCTTTTAAGTACTTTTGTGCCTTCAACACCTGAGAAACTAACCCTCTCTAACCATTAAAGTCCATTAACAAATTTCCAAATGCTAATTTCACACATTCCTGAGATGTACTTGGAAACGTGCATTTTTCAGTGTTCCCAAATATAATGAAATAGGCCAAGCAGGGAAGAGCTGGTGACATGAGGTGGCTACGGCCCCCAGTGTTGATGTTCTAGAAGCAGCAGACATGACCTCAGAGCAGCTGTCCTCGCGCAGGCGGAACAGGGACAGCCTGTAATGGTCACTGCAGTCCTCACACGAAGCCCAAGCCCAGGGGGCCCCACGTGCTTCAGAGCATGCGCAGACTCCACTCTCCCACACAAATAAAGGAGCTTTGGCCACAGGTCAAGAGACGTCTGGACTTCAGGATTTTCAAACACAGGAGAAAAGCACGAGCGAGAACAAAAAGCCAACCAGACACAGCTGTTAGCACGTCATTGGCCAGCCCTCCGGAAGCCCCTCTTCCCACACGCACCACTTCAACGCCATGGATGACACACCTGCCAGCTGGTACGTTTCACTCCAGCAACAAGCCTGGGAGTGAAGCACGTGACACACAGGGAACCCGGCCTTAATTTGTCACTGCTCCCGATTCCAGGGCCCGGTTTGGGAACACTGGGGAGGGGCAGCGAGCAAGCGCAGAGAGCCCCGCAGCCTGAGTGGCCCAGCAGGGGACAGAGCGCTCGGCACTTGGGGGTCGCCCCCAGCAGGCCTGACGCGGCGGTCCCCAGCCAGCTCTGGGCACTGGACTCCAGAGTGGGGAGAGGGTCTCAGCACCCTGACGGAACCTAGACTGCTTGTGCAACAACACGACGATATGACTCGCGCTATAAGGCAGCCTGCCTCCCTGCCGGGCGTCTGGAGCACAGGGAGGTGCCAGGCGGAGGCGCCTACATGACCCGCTCCAATGAGTGGCCTTGCACCCTGGGTCTCTGACAGGCTTCCCTGGGGGACGGCACCTCATGCGTGTTGTCACAGCAAGTCCCAGGACAGCCCACAGGGCTGGGAAGCTTGTGCCCGGTCCCCTCCAGGCCCCGCCTCCAGCACACTGCCCCTTCACTGATTTTGCTGGTTTTCCACAGAAACTAACCTCAGCGACAGATCCTCCTCGTAAATGGCTGAACTGGGGGACCTGAACTCACAGGGAGAGAGGGGCTCCCCAAACAATGAGGACGTCCCTGTGACGGCTGTGGGAGCTGTCCCTCCATCTTGCAATCTGGGGGGCAAGGGAAGCTCTGTTGTAACCCCGAAGCCTCAGTCCCTCACGGCGCTCTTCGTCCTGAAAACCCTCCCTCGGCCGCCGAAGCAGGCCCTCCCTCCTCTCTAAGCTGAGGAAGATGGATCCTTGAACACCTGTCCGGTCTGAAAAATATCTTTTAACTCCGTTAAATTCCTTTCTCTAGATTTGAAAAGAAATTTAAAAGTACTTTTTAAGATCAAACCAAAATACCCTTCACACAGAAAATCCTTACTATTTCAACCCTACACTTTACTTCCCACAAAGTCAACAAATCCGGTAAGGGCGGCATCTCTGTAGAAGCGTGTAGCTGCCTAAGGCCACACTTGAGCACAGCCAGAGTTACCGTGAAGCGAGTGTGCATGAGGCTCGGAGCCTGTCACATCAGCCAGGGCCACCGAGCACCCGCCCCAGCCAGCGCCAGCAACCGAAGCATCAGGGCCCCTGACTCTCTGTCACAAACTCTCCAAGACAGGACAGGCCATTTTACAGCACCAAGAAGCAAAGAACAGAAGGAGAGTCTAGAAATGCAACTTCTCCACCAACAGCTGTGGGACCTACATGCCCCGCGGCCTCCCCTATGGATCCCACCCAAGAGGTGCTCCCAGCGCGCTCCCTCTCTCTCCAGCCCCAGGGGACAGAGGTCAAGGAAGACCCCATAGGAGCCCCAGCTGCCGCCCAATATGAAGACAACCAGGGCTCATCCACAGGCCTCAGTCTACCCACATCTGCAAAAGGTATAGACGCACCTTTCCCAATGCCATGACGGGAGCACCAACGCCTCCCAGTCAAGCCAGCAGAGAACCCAGGTGGCAGTCGGTGTGGGGTGAATGGCCACGAAGAGCCTTACCATTCAAGAATGTTGGAAGGGAGGGGCTCAGCACAGATGTAAGGCACCGGGTCCTTCTTGATCCGAAGATAGTCCTGTTTCAGCCGCTGGGTCGCTGTTGTCGGAGCTCTTTTATTGCTGTTGCTGCTCATCTACGGAAAGCAAACATTTGTTTACAAAGCACGAGAGACCCGCCCCTGCCTCCTCACCCACACGCAGCTTCAGCAGTCCCGCGCTGCGCTGCGCTTCCGGGGCCCACCGTTGCGCCGGTTCATCCCGGGCACGCAGACCCCAGGCTGGCCTGCCCTGCCCGCCACTCACACACCTGCAGGGCGCGCGGCCCATCCCTGTGGGTCTGCCCCTCACAACCTTCATTAATGGAATACCAGGTGCAAAGATAAAAAAAAAAACAAAAAAAACAAAGCCCCACTTCTGTCCTCAACCCCAATGGGGAGAAAGGCGTAGAATTTACAGGGTCCTAAGCAGAGGTGTGCTGAGGCCAGCAGCGGCGGGTGCTCCTGACGGCGCTTCTCCAGCGCTGTGCTAACCAAGTTTCTCCACCACGGAAATCAGGAGGCCCCCACACCAGCCCCCAACAGAAGCGGTTGTTAAACATTTTCCAGCAAATCTACCATGGTCAAACATGGATGGGAGGATGGGGGACCTGGGGGCGCAGCCGGTTAAGCACACGACTCTTGATTCATCTCAGGTCATGATCCCAGTTCGAGCCCCACTTGGCATTCTCTCCCATGCCCTCCCCGACTTGCATGCATGCTGTGTCACAAAATAAGTAAACTTAAAGTCTGACATTCACGCTGGGAAGAGGGAAAAGGAGCACCCTCCTGACAGGAGGTGGGGACACGGGCAGAGGCCCAACACAGCACGAGGGATCCAGGCAAGAGCACTGAGCCTCTGTGTACGGACCCACAGCCCAGCAAATGGTGGCTAGCCAGAGGCAAGGCCACGCAGCCAGGAGCACTGCAGAAAGTTTTCAGACCCACGTCTTCAGAGAGATCAGATTTTCTGTTAGATCACTTGGCACAGGTGAGCAGAGATCGAAGGGGACAGCACAAGGCAGATGGGATGGCACGGGAGGCTCCTGAGGACCGGGAGCAAGGTCGCAGCCGTCATTCAAGAAAAGAAACATGGCCTGGCTGAGGGGGCCCTGGGACACCTCAGTGATGTTCAGAGGGCAGGGGGGAGCGCAGAGAGAGGAGACAGAGCCCCCCACCCACCCAACGGGCACCGGAGCAGCTCCAGCTCGATCTGCTCCGTATGCTGAAGTTTCCCGTAAGACAGCAAGGCAAAAAAGTTCTGCTGCTAAAAATAAAGTGTGAAAGCTGCTGGTCTCAAATATGATAGAGACAGAGGACACGGAGGGTATGCGGGAATGGGAAGGAAAAAGCAGCTTTCAGACTCCAGAGGGGGCAGACCGAAGCCATACCTGTCCTGGTCTCCTCCATGCCACTGACGCCACCACTCAGGCATCTCAGCCCGTCCTGCCACAGCACTGGGCATCGGCAGCGGGATCTTGACCCTGACCTCCAGCCTGCACAAATCTGAGATCACTCTCTACACCACCACCACCACCTCCCCCCCATCATCTCAGAGCCTTTGCCTGCCTGTTTCCCTGGCAACAGCCACAGCTCCTCCCAAACCGTCAGGTCAGAGGTCTGTGGACTCCTGCCCTTTTGCTGGCTCGATTCCCCTCAGAGCACTAAACCCGCCGCACCACAGGTGGGGCTCAGTGTGCTCCCCACAGCCCAGGGCCCGCAGGGCAGTCCTCCAGCACATGTCATCACCCACCCCTGCCCCTGTGCCCACTCCACTCACCCTAACGCGGGGTCCCACTGCCCCCCATCAAGCACCACCACAGCCTCGCAACTGGCCCCCAGCTCCGTCTCCCCATTTCAGTTCACCCTGTACACTTCAGTCAGGTTAACTTTCTCCACCCACCATTCTGATCACAGCATTTCAAGACCCCCCCATAGGCAACAAATAAACTCCAACACCTCCCCCTTCCCGCCAGGCCCAAAACAAAGAAGCCCCAAGGAGCCCTCCTAGCTTCTGACTCCCAACCCCCTCCTCAACCTAACCCTATGGCTGCTTCTCAGCCTGGTCTCCACTGGCAGAAAACTGACCTATGCCCTTCCTGGCCTAGCTCAAAGGCTAAGTCCCTCCAAAGCCTGCCTCATTTTCTGAGTCAAATGCCCCCGCCAGCTTTCCTGCCACCCGGCCTCCCTGTGACCCGGGCGGCCCTGTGACCCGCCTCCGCACCACACAGGCACCTGCCAGGCCCCAGGAGAGCGTGGGAGCCGGAGCAGGCTGCGGACAGCCTGGGAAGGGAGCGCTCTCCTACACAGCACTGCCCCCAAGCCCCCGGCCAAGCCAAAGGGGCAGGTGGCTCACCTAGTGACAAACATGCCAACAACCCAAAGCAGAACCACCATGCTGGACTTGTTCGGTTTTAAATGTTCACCCTGAAGTTAACACTCTGTAATAGAGAAAACAATTCACCGGGAAATTCAAATACCGCCATGTTTGCTCTTAATTATGTGGCCAGGCTGGGTGCTTAACGAAGGTTACTGGACTGATGGACGGACACTAATGGATCCTGCCTGGTCAGTCACAGACTTTTCGCTCTTTCTTGCTCTCAAAGACATAAACCTTTTTTTTTTTTAAGTTTATTTACTTTTGAGAGAAAGAGAAAGCACAAGTGGGTGAGGGGTGGAGAGCAGGGGGAAAGAGAAGGGATCCCAAGCAGGCCCCTCACTGTCAGCACAGACCCGACATGGGGCTCAAACCACAAACCGAGAGATCATGACCCGAATGGAGAGTGAAGTCGGAGGCTTAACCACCCAGGTGCCGCTCAAAGGCACATTCTTTAAAGTCACATTTATGATTCAACTACTCAGTTCAGGACAAAGCCCTCCTCTGCCTCACTCAGTACTCACAGCCCCTCAGGTCCATGGCCCCTGCACAGACCAGGACGCGGGTCTCAGGCTCCCTGCAAACCCCAGGTGGGGAACCTGAAAGAAAAGAGGGCAGGCCCTAAAACCAAGGACATGAGTAAACAGAGTCAGCGCACAGAAGGTAAAAGAGTGCTGCCTACCCCACAGGCCACGAGCCCCGCCGGCCTCACAGACACACTTGTCATCTGCCCAGCACCCAAACACCCTGTGCCTTCCCCCCCCACCCCCCTCAACACACATCTCTCCCACTCTGTGTAAGCGTAACTCAGGTGACAAAGTGGCATGAGACCTTGGCCTGACCGACCAGATGGGCACGTGACACTCTCAAGCCTGCGACTTTCACGGAAGTCTCTCCTTTCTCCAACAGGACTGCTTCATAGGCTGGATAGGGGCCCGGGGCCGATGGAGACTGTCCCACTACTACTCAGCCACCTGCCACACAGGTCAACACTTCAGAAAAGAGCAGACTGCTGACTACAAGTCCCAGGCATCCAGATCCAATCATGCCTGAAGTCCACACAGCAGGTTTTCCAATGACACGCCTTTTCCTACTAAAGCCAGGTTACACGGAGTCTCCCTCACCTGTACCATCGCTGCAGTGTGTCCTTACGCACTTATTCACTCTATTCCCTCTAGGCTGTGGCCTCACCTTTCTTCAGCTGTTCCATGCCTGGGCCCAGAAAGTGGTTGGGAACTGGGCTTGAATTAAATCCGGACCAGCTAGGTGGCAGCGACGGAGCAAGGAGCTGTAAGTTTCGCCTCTTGAAGCTGAGAGGGTGCCGGTAACCGGCAGAGGGGAAAGTGGGCCGGCACAGACGAGGGCTGGCCCAGGGCCCAGGGCGGACGCCAGTCGGCAGTGCCCACGGGGGAGCCACCGACTCTAGCTACCCACTCTTGCCGCCTGAATTTCTTCTCATTGCCCCAAGAGGCGGAACCCTAAGGACACTCATTCCTGCTGGAATTTACGAAACAGTTTGGGGTACTGTCTGCGGGCGAAGAGGCGGGCTCGAGGACAGCCACCCCAACACGATTCCCGGGGTACGTTTACAAACCAAGGTCTCTGCCGGCTAGTCCTGGAGGTGCCCGCAAGTGTGCCGCTAACAGGAGACCTTTCCGTGGGAGCCCCAGCCGGGGGGCCAACCAAATCCCCAAGCTGGCCGGAGGAACACCCCGGCCCGGAGCCCCGGGCGCCCCGCCGTAACCGACCTCAGGTTCCGCGCACGGAAGCTCCAGGCGGGGGCCCCTCGCGCGGCGGATCGAGCGGCAACAAGCCTTGCGGCGGCCCCGTGCCCTCCGCGCGGGTCGGCTCCAGCGGGGCGGACGCGCAGCCGAAGCCCCGGTTCAGGCCCGCGCGGCGCGCTCACCTCTCCCCGTCGCCGCGCGTGGGCCGCCGCCGCGCTCAGGCTCGCCGTGGTCGAGACCGGAGCAGGGAAGGAAGAGCGTGGCCCGCGCCGGAGAGCCTCGCTGCGCCGGAAGCGAGCCCACCGCACCGCCGCCGCCGCCTAAGCTTGCAAGATGGCCGTTCGCGGGGCGGGCGGGGGGAGTGTGCTCCTCCCCGCTTCCGATTCCGGTGCGCCGTGCTCCAGGGTGGCCGCTCTAGCCGGCCCGGCGGACGTCGCCTGCGTCTCGCTGCCGCCTCGCGCCCCGCAGGGGCCAGAGCGCCGGCGCGTGCGCACTGGAGGGCAGCTCCTTGGGCGGGGCGCGCGGCACCCGCGGCCCCTGCGCTCCGGCTGGCGGCTCCGGCTGGCGGCCCCGGCTGGCGGCTCCGGCTGGCGGCCCCGGCGCTTGGCGCTGCCGTCTCTCCGCTGATCTGGTCGCGCCGCGGGGCCGTCCTGGGCATCCTTCCGCCACAGCGTTGTCGGCGGGCGGCCCAGGGGTCGTCAGATCCCCCGCCCTGCACACTACCTCCCCATGAACCCTGGCCGAGAGCGGGGCGCGCCAATCCCAGAAAGACCGGCTCCGTCAAAGGGTGTCCCTGGAGGTGCCCGCGTGAACTCCTTGAATTCACTGGGACCCCGACCCTCCCACCTGCCACCCTGCAAAGGATGGGACCAACCCCGGCGTGGGGCGCGCGTGTGCCCGCGTAACAGGGGAGAGCTGGACGCACCAGGGTCCCCCGGCCGCGTCAGTCCGAAGCTGCCCCGGGCCCGAGAGTCACGTCCTGAACGGCCTTGTCTGGCCACCAGTGAGGATGGGGATGGGAGCGCTGCCAGAAGCTGCACCAGGTGGGGTCGGCCATGGGCGCCTGTCCAGCCCCTGCCTATGGGGAGAGCTGGCCTCATAAAAATAGTTCCACTGTTTCCCCAACTGAATTTTCCACCCAGCCCATGAATAGGGTCATTATGCAACAGTGGACACTGCACTGAGGCTTGCTTTCTGCTCCCACAGTCCCCTCCCTGGCCCTGGGGGAGGGGGAGGCAGAGCCTGGCCCCCTGAGTGTGCCTGAAGCCGGCAGGTGCGGATACTGTTCCCAGGGCCAGCATCAGAGGGTCCTGATTGCAGAGGCCTGGGGCTGGCCCTCCTCAAGAGGGCCGTGGGGGAAGGTTCGGAGGGACGTGAGGGTGGCACACAGGAGGTAGGAGAGCTGCTGTCTGAACGTGGGCTGGGCTGGGCGGCTGAGCGAGCCAGCATGCTTACTGCCTGCTGCCCTCCCTGGAGAGAAAACCCAGGACAGGGCCAAGTGGGGGCCTGGGGTCTCCACTCCCGGGTTGTTTCGGGGGAAATCCTGCACATCGACTATGAAGCAGGTGGTAGTCATCAGCCTGGACAGATCGGGAGAGGCCGTTGCTGTGCCGGACTGCGTGGCTCTGTGGGACGGAGCGGGGGTTCCAAACCCTTCACCATGCCTCTTGGCATAGGCCACAAGTCAATGAGGTGACTGATCACACAACCATTAACAGGGCCAGCTGTGGCCCCTGGGAGAGAGCAGGCAGCCATGCTTGCCCTTGACCCTGGCCCACCCAGGGCATCTCAGGCAGGATCTAGCCCCAGGCCCTGGGCAGAACCCAGAAGGAGTGCCCATCGTCCACCAGCCTGCTGCCAGGCGAGTTGCCCCGTGGGAATCCAGCCTGCCTCCACCTCCTGCCACATCACCCAGTGCCGGCCTGGCCGCCCGGTGGGGAGGCTGGCCATCTCCGGAGCTCAGCCTCTGCTGGTACACTCGGCATCGTGCCTTCACCCCTCTGCCTCCTCCGAGGGCTCTACCATCCCCATGCAGGGCAGGCCCAGCTCTTTTTAGCACGTGGAAAGTTACGTAAGGGAGGCTACCCCCGGGGGCCTGGGGCGGAAGCACAGGTGTGTCTGGCACACACCCACGCGCAACTGCAGAGCACAGGCAATGGCTGTACAGGCCTGGGTCCTCGGGCAGGTGGAGGCCCTCTCCTGCCTCAGTTTGTCTCCGCGTAAAGTGGGGGAGCCAGCTCGTGTGGGAGCATCTTGATGGAAAAGCTCACCTCAGAACCCCCCAGCGTCAGCCCCAACCTCCTGATCACCAAGCACCCTTGAGTCACACCTGAGGGCGAAGCTTCCTGAGACAGATGTGGCCAACAGGTCCTGCCAAGACCCTCGCCCACGCTGCCCAGGCCTCTGCCCTCAGAAGTCAGGCAGGAAGGGGCAGCCAGGCTGGCAGTGAATGACAACTGAGACCTTCTCAAACCCCAAAAACACCCTTCTGGAGAAGAGGCTGGAGCTAACCCTTCCCGCCAGACCAACTTCCAACCACTGCCACTTCTGCCAATGGCCAAACTGCGGGAAGAGGACGGCCACGTTCTCTCCTGAGCATTTGTGTTGGAAGAGCTGCCAGAAAACCAAGAGGGTTAGAATCAAGAAAACATACCCCCCACACCAGTTGCCACTACCCCTGCCCCCGGGCAGGACCTGACGACCCCAGTTGCATCTGACCAGTAGGGACCACTGGGCCGGGGCTCAAGAGAGGGTACCAAAGAGCCAGCCTGAGGGTGATCAGGCAGGAAGTGTGTACACACTCCTTCCAGCGGGAGACACCTGGGCAGACCCTGAGCTCCACCCACCCCCGACTGACCGGAGGCGCCTCAGGGAGCCCCCTCTTTGCTGGCCAGAGCCCCTGCTTAACACTGTGGTCAGTGCTCGGGGGGTGGGGGGGGGGGTGAGGAGGCTCTGCATTTGCACCGAGAAGGTCCCTCACCCTCCTGGAAGCAGGTGGGCCAGCCCCCAGGCCAGGGCGGATGACCGCCCACCCCAGCCCGTGCCCACCGGGAACCCACACACATGCAGAGCCAGTGGGCTGTCACAGATTCTGTCACACCTGAATCTCCTAGGGCCGCCTCTGAGCTGCCCCTGAGGGTAAGGCCACCCACAGGGGAATGAGCTGGGCCTGGAGGCTCCGTGAAAGACCAGCACCGACAGTGTCCAGGACAGCCCCAGCCTGGAAGGGGACACCTTGGCACCCCTAGGCCCAGCCTCAGTGGAGGCTGGCTCTCAAAGTCCCGATGGGGGGTGTACCCAGGGTGGGGCCGCATCCTACTGTCCTTCTCCGGAGAGGGTGGAGTGGGTGGGGCCTCTGAGGCATCCACACATTCCTTCAACACACAGCTGTAGAGAAGTGACCACGTGAGCCCACGCTGTGCCAGGAGCTGGGGACTCCCCGCCCGGCCCCAGCCCGCAACCCTGCTCCTCCAGGGGCCAGTGAGGCTGGGGAGGCAGGAGAAGGGATGTGCCTGGAAGGAAGGAGGGGGCTGCCGGCCTGGCTGCTGCTGGACACCGTCTGCGTGTCCTCTATGCCCTCCCAGAGGTGAGCTCCGGGGCGGCCTTCCCCCTCCCCACCCCCGCTGGGTGCTGACCCTTGGCCCTGGCCCTTCTCTTGCCCTCTCAGCAGCTCTCAGGGTGCTTCCCCAGGAGGGAAGGAAGGGTTGTGCCTTCCGCCTGGATGGGCTCTGACTCGAGCCCCTCAGGGCACCAGGCATCATCACAGGCAGGCCTCTGCCCTGGCCAGGGCTCCCGCTCCCACGGGAAGGCAGAGGCCCCTGCTCCCTACAAGCTGCCCTTGGCTGGCAGGGGCTCTGGCTGGACCTGAGCTCGGGCCTCCAGGCCCGTCCTTCCTGGCAGCTACTGCTTCAGCCTCCTGAGCTGGAAGCCACAGGTCACTCTTGTTCCAATTCCAGAGCACCTGGGACCTTCCCCTGCTGCTACGAGGCCTCCCCTAGGACAGCGTGTGCCCCACCCCTCGGTAACACAGCCTGCCCCGCAAAGGAAAATTGCTCCGTGGCAGAGGGCCCGACACACCCCAGGCCTGTGCTGTTTAGGGGCTCTGAAGCTTGGGGAAGGGGAGTCCACACCAGTGATATCAGCTGGTTCCACCTCTGAGCCCTGAGCAGGAAGAGGAAACAAAGGCCCATTTAGCACTTGCGGAAATGGGCTCAGAGAGGTTGAGTAATTTGGGCAAAGTCCCACAGCAGGTGACAGAGCTGTGATTCGCACCCACACCTGGGTGAGTCCAGGGCCTGCTCTTCCCCAGGCATGATGGCATGACTTCCCTCTCTGGCATCGCCGATGGCCCTCTGCCTCCTTCCAAAGCCACAAGGCTGATGACCCTGCCCCTCCTCAGAGCCCAGGCCTCCCCAGCAGGGCCGATTGGAAGTGGGGCTCCCTCCCTCATCCCAGCCCAGGGGCCTCAGCACTGATTGGGGGCGGGGTGTCAGAAACCTAGAGCCTGCCCTGGGGAAGGGGCAGTGGGGCCTGGAACCTGGGATCAGGCTGAGGGTTTGGGCACTTGGGATGGTGAGGCCTCTGGGTCATCCTAGGGACATGTTAGACACCCCCCCCCACCGCAGCCAGAGGTGGTGGGTCACGCTGGGGGTGGGGTGTCCTGGTCTGTCCTGCCTCTGGTGCACCGTCCGGCCTGACACTCCCACAGTGAGGCCAAGGACTTCAACCCCTGAGACCGTGTGATTTGGCCCTGAGCGTGGTGTGTGTTGTTAGCATGTGGTGTGTGCCCTTAGTGTGAATGTAGCAAGACATGGGGTGTGTCATCTTCGTGGTCTTAGTGTGTGGTGTGGCGGCGGTGGCCGTATTGTCTGGTAGAAAGGGTGAACTGTGTGCCCCAGGGCACCAGGTGCTGTCTCCACACCCAGGCCCGGGTTCCCACAATTAGAGCCAGTCCCAGCAGCTGGGCGGCTGGCCCTAGACACCTGCGTCCTGGGAGTGGAGGCCCCTGCCCAGTGCCCCTTGGCCATAAACACCTGTAGTCAGTGCTCGCAGTGTGAGCCAGGCAGGCGGTGGAGAGCAGGCGTCCCTCCCAGGCCTGGCAGGAGGCAAGAAGGCAGAGGGGTGAGGGGCCAGGGCTCTCCAGGGTCTGCTGGGAGTCAGGTTCTGACCCAAGAGAGATCTGAGCTTCCGGAGCTGGGGGGGTGGGGAGGGAGGTCTGCTCAGGAGGAGGCTGGGCAGCCATCCAACGGGGTCTCTTCTCCTTCCAGAAACCAGGAGCCCTTCACCCTAAGGCCTGGCTTCCAAGTCTCTGAGCAAGAAACACTCACCCAAGAGGAGGACCCCCATCCCTGCCCTGATGGCTTCCCCTTCCGGGTCCAGAGTGGGTGTGCCTGCCCCCGCCAGCCAGGCCCCTCCCCGCCTCAGCCCACACGCAGCCAGCCTGTTATAAATAGGAGGCTGCCTGGCCAGTGTCGGGCCACATCCCACTTTGTCTTGTCACCCACTACAGCCGTCATCTTCAGGCCACCCACCACAGGAGAATGGAGGTGCTTGCGCAGGGAGGCTCCAGCTTCAAGGTACCCAAGGGCACCTGATGTGCCCTTTCCGGGGCAGGGAGGGAAGGTCTTCTCTGGGGGTCTCTCTAACCTGAAGTGGAGGGCGCTGTGTCCCATGTGTCACCTCAAGCGCACACACGCACAAAGGGCAAGAGAAGAGGGTCATGCAGTTCCCACTGAAGACTTGGTGCACGTGACAGGAGTATGTGTATTTGCACACATGCGTGCATGTGTGAGCGTGTACGAAGGGGCCATCGCCCCTTCTCCTGCTGTGTCTTGCTCGAGGCTTCTCGGATCCCAAGTGCCCACATTCACCTCAGTGCATCAGGGGCCCTCTATCCCAGGTGTCTGGGCCCCGCCCCCATCTCAGGAAGCCCTGGGGGCTCTCAGTGGTCCCCCACACCCCCATCTTTGGGACCTCCCCTTTTCTGCCCTGGTAGCCCCAGCTGGGGCAGGAGGGGGCTGGTTTGGGCTCCATGTCTGGGGGAGGGTAAACATGGTTAGTGGAGTCAGAAAGAACCTTCTGGAGCCCCTTTTGCCTTACCTATAACACACAGCTGAGGATTCTACCTCACCCGTGAAGGGCCCGTGTGATCACGGGGGGACACGCATGTAAGAGGAGCTCTTTGCATATGAGACTCCCCCATTAGTACTCTGTGCCGGTACCTGCCCCCGGCCAGGCTTGGGGGAGGCCCACAAACCTGAAGCTGGGAAGGGAGGCCAACCGACCGGCACCTCGTACGGCCCGGAGAAGCCATACCTACAGCCTGCTCCAACACACAGGTTCCCGGAGCCCACGGGAGCAGCCTGTTTGGGTGTCCCGGGCCAGGCACATGCTGGCAGATGCTTCTCTGCTGCCCCTGGCTCAGTCCCCTCCCCAGGTGCCTCAGGAGGGGCCAGAGTTCAGGAGGCTAGACCCTGGGTCCAAGAAGACCTAGTGATTCAGATTGAGATGCAGACAATGTGGAAAGTCCACCGGATGCCCAGGCAGTGACTCAACACGTGTTCAGGGCTCGCAGGCCCGGCCTCGTCAGGGTCTTATATCCCTGTGTGCTGGAGGGACTGGGGGTCTGGGGGCCCTGGGTCTGTGCCTCTACTTCTCTGCACCCCTCAGGTCCCCACCACTGGCCCCCTGGCCCCCTGCCCGCTTTCCTGGAGCCCAAGGTCCACAAACAGGGCTTCCGTGGGGACACAACTTGGCAGGTGATGCCTCACTGTGGCCACAGCACTGAACAATACTTGGCCCTGACCCTCAGCCCAGACGTGGCTGAGCAGCCTGCTTCTGTCAGTCCCAACCATACGAGGCCATACTGGCCACTAAGGGTTGGTAGAGGCCATTGAGGCCCAGAGTCTGGTCTTTCCAGGGCCCCCAGACCTTCCACATTGGCTCTGGGCCAAGGACGCAACCCAGACAAGCCCGTCACCTGGCCTGCCCCTCCCCCAGAGGCCCCTGCCCCACTTAGGGGACAGTAGCAGAGACCTACCCAGCCTCAAGCCAGCCTGCAAACAGTTGCAGGCAGGGTTTGGACACCACACCGTCCACTGTCCCCATCCCCACCAGCAGGACCTAGCTCTGGCTACGATGAGGCGTGCCTAGGTAGGCCGCCTGGTGCCCGGCCCGGGGAGGGGGGCGGGGGTGCACGGCTGCGGGGCTGGTCCCAAGCCTCTGATAGGGCCTCTTTCAAGCATCAGCAGGCTGGGCTGTGCCATGGGGGGCTGAGGGAAGTTCCCAGGGACAGAGAATGCAAGTCCTACCAGCCTGGGGTGAGGAGGCCTGAGTGGCACCAGGCCAGGCACCCGGCGGGGGCCACACTAAGGCTTGCTTCTTGGACACAGGCAGGAGCTATGGCCCAAGCATCTGGTGGCTCCCCAAAATCCCATGAGACCCAGCTGCCACTGCCACCTCAGCCCGAGGACGAGGAGGGGCAAGGGGAGAGGCTCGTAGAGCTGCACGCCTCCTTCCAGGAGCTCTTCACCTTCTTCTGCACCAATTCCACCATCCATGGCGCCATCCGCCTTGTCTGCTGCAGCCAGAACCGCCTCAAGACGGCATCCTGGGGGCTGCTGTTCCTGGGTGCCCTGGGTGCACTCTACTGGCAGTTTGGGGTCCTCTTTGAGCAGTACTGGCGCTACCCAGTCATCATGACAGTGTCCGTGCACTCGGAGCGAAAGCTCTTCCCGTCTGTCACTCTGTGTGACATGAGCCCACACAGGTGAGGGTTCCCGATTCCTCATCTCCGCAGCCTGTGGACATCTCCCCAGGCGTGGTCACCAGCTCAGGCGCCCTGAGACTCGGGGAGGGCAGACAGTTACGGGGCAGACAAGGAGGAGCCAGTTGGAGCTTGCAGTGGCCAGTGTCACCCAGGCACCCAGGTGCTGGGCAGCCAGAGTGAGGGTTCGGGCTGGGGGGACAGGAGAAGAGAGCAGGGTAACATTCCAGGTGGGGAGGCAGAGGGGGCAAAAACAGGGGAGTGGTGGCTGTGCCAGAAGATCGGTGGAGTCCACACGGGCACCAGGCCAGGCTGGGGGGCCTGATGTCACTCTGCAGCCCCAGCCTGAAGCTCAGGCTTCCCACGTATGGGGCAAGGCTGCTGTCCATTGATCTTCAGGAAGGTGCGGCTCTCCCCGTTGGTACCCCTTGACTGATGTGAGGGACTCTCGGGGGTGGCTCTGACTCAGCTTGCCCCTCTCCCTCGCCCTGACCACCCCACCCTATAGGCCGAGCTCAGTCCGCCACCATCTGCAGGCACTCGATCAGTTTGCCCAGGAGAACATCCATTCTCTCTACAAATTCAACTTCAGCGAGGACAGGGTTGCCCCCTTTACTGACGACCGGGGCCCACAGCCTGCCTTCTACCTGGACCGCAGCGTCCGCCTGCAGAGGCTGAGCCTCCCGGGTGGCCAGAGCAGAGTGGGTTTCAGATTGGTAAGTGTCCCTAGGCCTGAAATTCGGTCCTGGCGAGCCATCACTCCGCAGGGCTCTGCGTTGGGTGTGGGCGGGCAGGGAGGCTGTGCTGTGCTGACCCCATGCCCCTCAGTGTAACAGCACAGGCGGAGACTGCTTCTACAGGGCCTTCTCGTCAGGTGTGACAGCCGCCCGAGAATGGTACTGTTTCCACTATGTGAGCATCTTGGCCCTGTTGCCCACCGCCCACGAGGACAGCCACCGGAGCCACGGCGGTCACTTTGTCTTCTCTTGCCAATTTGACGGCCAGGACTGCCAGGCCCAGTGAGTGGGGGCGGGGCGGGTGGGTGGCTGCTCCCCTTGCTCCACCCTCCAGACACGGGTGCCGCCACTGGGCTTCCTCCAGAGATGAGGCAGGTCATAGTCCCTCAGGCCACACGCAGTGGGGTCACGGGTCAAAGGTGTATGCTGGTCTGAGTGTGGCTCCTGGCTCCAGGCACTTCCAGACATTCCACCACCCCACCTATGGCAGCTGCTACACCTTCAACGGCGTCTGGGCTGCGCAGCGCCCGGGCATCACCCATGGTGAGTGCCAGCCGCAGGCTGAGTGGGGCAGGGGGGCATCGGGACCAGCCTGGCCTCACCCTGCTCCCTCCTCCAGGAATCAGCCTGGTCCTCAGGGCTGAGCAGCAGGACCGCCTCCCGCTGCTGTCCACGGAGGCTGGCATCAAAGTCATGATTCATGAGCGTGACCACCCACCTTTCCTGGAGCACCAGGGTTTCAGCATCCGGCCAGGGACCGAGACCACCATCAGCATCCGAGAGGTGGGTGGGCCTCGTCCCTCCCACTCCCCACTTGCCTGCCCAACTCTGGGGCCTCAAGGGCCTGGGACGGTGGGGCTGAAGCACTCTCCCTCCCCCCAGGACGAGGTGCACCGGCTGGGGAGCCCCTATAGTCACTGCACCCACAGTGTGGAGGGTGTGGGTGTGCCGCTGCTGTACAATGCCTCCTATACCCTGCAGGTGAGTCTGGCGCCATGGGGTGGGAGGAATGGAGCATCTCAGGGAGGGCACAGGGGATGCCAGGGGAGGAAGTCTGGGGCAGGGCTGGGGGAAGGGGGGGACGTGATGGGGAGGGCACCGGATGGGCAGGGGGGCCAGGCCCTCCTGCACACCGTGGGGGAGGGGTGGCTGCCTCTGGAACTTCAGCCCGTGTCCCCCGCTGTCCCCACAGGCCTGCCTGGTATCCTGCTTCCAGCAGCTGATGGTAGAGACCTGCTCCTGCGGCTACTACTTCTACCCTCTGCCGTCAGGGGCGCAGTACTGCAGCTACGGCCGGCACCCCGCCTGGGGTGAGACCCGCCCCGCCGCCTCGGCTTCGCCCCGCCCCCTCCGCTTCGCCCCGCCCCCTCCGCTTCGCCCCGCCCCCTCCGCTTCGCCCCGCCCCGTGCCGCACCACCCTGCTCGCCCCGCCCCCTCCGCTTCGCCCCGCCCCGCGCCGCACCACCCTGCTCGCCCC